TTTTTGATCCATTTATTTTTTGGAATAAACCTGGAGTACACAGCTGCTGATGTAATGTTCATTCTTAATGCATAGTTTTCAAACATTTACCCTTGAAACATTATACTTTTGAGTTTCAGAATTCTTGATTATCAATATCAGTCAAAATAGAAAAATGGGTTCCCATGATGAACGTTTACGGAACCCAACATCAGTTATTGTGGTTTCCCATTGGGTAATCCGACGGAACCGAAAAACGGTTACCATGAATTTCTGAAATCCTCAGGCCTGCTCCTGCATTATTTAAATTTTTGCAGCATTTGTTTATAATTGTATGTATATGTTGTTTGTGTTATCATATGCAATTGAATAAGTAGACCATTTCGGAATTTGAAATTTGGGACTCTCTCAATGCATAATGGGACTCATACTTTTCTGATCAGTGAGTCCCTTGGACTCGCTGCAGGTAAACTGTAAAATGATCACTGAGAGATTACCGCTTTTTCTGCAGTCAGTGATTGACTTCTATGCAAAGTCATTTCTCAACTTGTGTTCCGTGCCATGTCATGCCTGTTGAGTGTTGATTTACTTCATATTAAGAAACTACTGCACTAAAACATTAATTCATAAATGTATATCATATGATTTTATTTCTTTTTCTCAGTATAAATAACACGTACCCTGACTGTTCTACTCTTTGAATAAAATCACTTCATTCAAGCGTTAGGGAGTGCAAAGGGTTATGATGGAGGGGTGTTGCAAATCATGAACACCTGCCAAGTGGTATGATAGCATTGTTTTATACATGTCCTCGGCTAGGCCTCAATTTCAAAATCAGTCCTTGGTCCTTGGCCTTGGCCTTGGAGGCAAGTCCTTGGTCCTTGGCCTTGGCCTCGGAAAATTTTTCAAGTCCTTGGCCTTGGCCTTGCCTCGGAAAATTTTCCAAGTCCTTGGCCTTGGCCTTGGCCTCGGAGGCAAGTCCTTGGCCTTGGCCTTGGCCTCGGGTTGCCGGTCCTTGGACACATCCCTGACTCTCATACAATTCCGAAAGGACCCTAAATCCAAGCGATCAAAAATATAGTTTAAATAAAATCTCAATTATAAAAACGAGTGAAAGAAATCAGATTTCGGATTGAATAAGAAAAAAAAAAGAAGAACAAATAAAGAAATCGACACGTTGACAGGCAACGTTGACATGGAGCTCTTCCGACTGCACTGGAGTCAAAAAAACACGTCGTCCATTCATCTTGTCCTTCCATTGACAGCGCATCGCGTCACGTGTTTCATCTCGCACATCCCTCCGTTCATTATTTAGGCTTCGAAGAATCCCCCCCCCACTCCTCTACCCTCATGCCTTTTCCCCTCATCATACACACATTTGATTTGTAGTGCAACCTTGGGGGTGGGGGGGGGGGTGGACAAAAACAAAACAAACATGATGCAAACGCTTACCTTCATCTTTGAAGCCTCCCCCCGCGCCTGCTGGCGTTGCATGCAGATGCTCCCCCCCCTCGCCAGCCCTCCCGAGATATCCTCGCCAATGTTGTTGTGGCGCTGCGGTGCTGACTTGTGACGCGTTTGCGCCAAAGGAAGTCCGAGCTGCAAGACTGACGATGAGGAGGATGAGGATGCACTGAGCATGCGCACACGCGATCTCCCGGCCAGCCTTTTGAAAGAAGCAAAACACGCAGCGGGGGTCAAATATTCACATTGTGGTGGAAGTAAAAAAAAAAATCAAAATATAAAAAAGGAAAACGAGAACTATTGATTCAACTCCTTAAGTTCATTTCAGTCTGCGCTTTGGAACTTGCGTGAAAAAGTAAAAATGACTTAAAAAAAAACCTTAACTTTTACTAATTTCTCTTCAGTACGACAGTATGGCACTGTATTAATGTTTTGTATTTGAATAAAAACACGAATTACACAACGTATTGTAACAACACCCAAAGAGGATGACACATAGTGGAATGAAACAACCACTCAACGTTACTTTAGAATTGTGCGCTAGCTCAATGCTAACAAACTGTGCAAAAGACCATAGACGGACGAACAAAAAGCCCGGCGCTGCATTGTCAGAAGCCTTCAAGCAACAATTATTTGAACGTAAATGGTGGAGCAAACACTAACCGAGAGGTCCAAGTGAAGACGCAACTGATGGTCACTTCGTGAACGCCCACTGAGGCGCCCGTACGCGTTTGGCCAGACGACGTCTCGGAAAGTGATTCACGCTGCACTCGACTCCACTCGCTGCTGCGATGGGGATGCTGTTGCCAAGCAACCGGCGCCCGTGGCCTTTCATCCGCCGTTTATCTCCGAGGTGGGCTTCCGCGAATGCGATCGGAACCGTTCTCGCATGGTCCCAAATGTACCCAAGTGTGGAACTGCCAATGTGGAGGAAACATTTTTGACTGGAAAAGTTGTTCAAACGTACTTGCAGATACGGGATACAGTAATACGGGGGTTACCTTCCAAAGAGAACCCCTGATAAATGAAATCCCTGAAGCGGTCATCTTTATTTTTGACAAGTATTCCATATACAATACAACACCACGACAAAGAAAGACGACAGAGTGTGTATGTGAGAGAGAGAGAGAGAGAGAGAGAGAGAGAGAGAGAGAGAGAGAGAGAGAGAGAGAGAGAGAGAGATATGCAGGTGTCTTGTTAAGACTCATGTTGGGCTGACTTTATCTATCTGATCACAAATGTAGGTTCACCCGAATAAAGCCATGATTTAGGAGCTCAATAGTAAATGTCCATTTAGGAGTTTCCGTCAGAATCGAGGCCCAGGGCAGAACCAGCCCGCCACATCATTTGACGTGACCCGTAAAAGCAAAATCATGTGCTAAAAATCAGAAACTCTTTCCCAGTCATACACAAACGCAAAAACACGCTCACGCGCGCACACCCGCGGGGACACCGTCCCTCCCCTCTCGCAAACGCGACCGACCAACCCCAGTCAGGGGGATTGTGAGTCATTCCCATATCTTCCCGCAGGGGGCGACAGTGACCGCTACATCCCCCATCGAATGTGTTGTCAGTTTATTTTTCTGGATGCACTAAATATTTTAATGTTAGCGCGACGTCAAACCTTGACGTATTAATTCTCTCAAAACACACTTGGGCAAATCATGCCAAAAGAAACACGGACACGTTCTTGAATGAATTTATGAATAAACCTATTGGACATGGAACCATTTGCAGTTGAGCGAACACATGAGATCCTTACGACGGCGAGTGATTCTGCCCAGCGATTGGTCAAACGACGCCCTGTGAAGGAAACGGCTCAAGCTGTCAACAACCACCACCGACGACACCCTTCTAACCTTTTTTACAAACGCGCAAGTGTTCTTGAAACCTTGAACGTGACTGTCGGCGTGCCTTGAAATTACTGCGTTCTGTCAGGCTCGAACTTGCTCTTTCCATTCTGATTCTGCTTGATGGATTTGTGAGACAGCTGAGCAGCCTGGACAACACCCTGATGGATAAACAGCATCAGAAGTGAGGACGACGTGACCACAACAGAACATCCCGTACTCCTCCTCACCTTGAAGCTCCTCTTCCTCTTCTGGATGTTCCGCTCGGGCTGGAAGAGGATGACATAGACTTTGGGAATGTAGAGCATCCCGAGGGAAACGGATGCACTGAGAGTCATGGACACGGTCAAAGTCGCCGTCTGGATGAACATCTGCACGGAGGACACGGCGTTTAACGGGCTAGAATGGAATCCAGATTACAATGAGTCTCAAACTTTTTTTTTTTTTTTAAATCAAGAAACATCTTCTGAGGGTGGTATTCTCACGTCTCATGAGAACTCCACGCTCCGGAAATTAGGCCCACCCTCAGACTTCAGAGAACCACGCGCCTTTGACGGTCACGCACATATTTTTGCAGTTACATCTTTCTAATCCGCTTCTCCTCACAAGGGTCGCTGGGCGTGCTGGAGCCTATCCCAGCCGTCTTCGGGCAGTAGGCGGGGCACATCCTGAACTGATCGCCAGGGCACATGTAGCCAAATAACCACCGCTAAGATGCTCACAATCACACTGGGACAATTTTGAGTGTTCCATTAACTCCCCGTGCATGTTTTTGGAATATGGGAGGAAAGCAAAGTACCCGGAGAAAAGCCACGCAGGCACGTGGAGAACATGCAAACGACACACAGGAAGGCCGGAGCCGGAATCGAACCCTGCACCTCCTTCTGCACTGTGGGGCGGACGCGCTAACCATTTGATCACCGTGCCGCCCATATTACATTTGATAAAAATGATTTGATCTCACTTAATAGAGGTTATTTCATCATTATTTTTTGTGACATTTTCGTTTGACGTGGGCTTTGACATTTTTCGAATATAAAATATTTGAAAAATGGATGTGAAACACAAGACTAATATCAATATTCAGCAGCTCTAGACTAGACAGAAACAAGCTGCTTGGTTCCATAATTACAGCCTGCATCAGATTATAATTTTAATCTGTCCAATCCCAGCCGGTGTGCTTGGATGACTGCAACACTTCTCTCCAAAGACCATTAAAAGTCTGCTTTCCTGACCTCAGACTGAACGACAGCCACCCCCCCCCACCACTTCTAAAAACAAACAAAAAAAAAAACACTCACTAAAAGCTTCATGAATCCCAAACATCACAACGGATTTTGTTCTCCATGACTTCCATTTGGCCACTAGATGGCGACAGTGAACTTCACAACATCGGGACACTGTCGGTTGACTTTGGTTACCGTGCAGAGTGAAAGTGATTGTCTCTGTGTTCTGCACTGCATGCAGCTCTTTTGCTTTGACTTTTTTTCTCACCATGTGAGCAAGTAACGTGTCAGTTGAATTAAAAGCTTGAACTCATCGATTTGGCAAAGCAGTGTGTTTTTGAAAAACGGCACTCCAACGTCTGCACTCAAAGAACCTCGCCTCACGTCAAGATTTTCTCTTGCCGTCATTTATTCATGCAAAAATTATTTCAATCAGATGACTCAATTATTTGATTGGATAATCGATTCCAAAAATATGAAATAGAAGAAATTTAGGCTAGATTCTCAAGCGACACTGTAATAGCAAGTGACTTGGTGGTTAGCCCTCGGGCCCGAATGATTAATTGGCTGGCTGATTTAATCGGCGGATATTAACTTTTTCAAAATCAGCATGCAAGAAAAAAATAAAAGAAAAAATCGGCAGAATTTTATTGCAGTGAAGAGGTCCTGAGCTCGGGGTTGCGGTCCTGGTGTCGCATCCTTACCTTTTCGGTGGATTGGGCCGTCCCGAAGAAGATGGGCACAAAGGCCAGCCAGACGATGCAGGTGGTGTACATGGCGAAGCCGATGGGCTTCGCCTCGTTAAAAGTCTCCGGGACCCCGCGGCTTTTGACGGCGTACACGGTGCACGTCACCTAGCGACACAAATGCGGCGGGTCAGGCGGTCGCTTGCGCGCCGTGGGGCGGGGCTCGACTTCTTACCATGAGCACGATACTGTAGCCGAGGCAGCAGATGATCGACAGGTCGGACATGTCACACTTGAGAATTCCTCGGGCCAAGTCGGGGTTGGGGGGCCGGAGCTCCTCGTAGTCCACAATGGTGTGAGGCGGCACCACGGCGAACCACACAAACACGCCCAACACCTAACACACACGCGCGCACACACACAGACAAATCTTGAATCCCTGAAACAAGCAATCGATAATTCCATTGATCAACCAAACAACAACAAAAAAATGGCAAACCCATCTGGCAACTCATTTATCAAGTAACCAACCACCCAACCAGCAAATTGACTGACCATCCTACCAAATCAATCAAGGGACGAATCCAGCCGTTGGTCATAAGTGACGCATGGCGACAACAAGAGCAGCCCAGACAAAAGTTGTCAAAATTGGACTTTTTGCCGAATACCTGAACCTAGTGATGAACAAACGAAGCTTCATGAATCACTCGTGATAGTTTTTAACTCCTCCAGATGGCACTCTTGGTTTAAAGATGCAGTGAAATTTTAACACATTTCCATTGCACTAAACCAAGAACATCTTCTAGAGGAGTCAAAAAGTGCTTCATGAAGCTTCGTTTTCCCATCACTGCCTGAATCGACGGTATCCGTGACGCCGGGGGAGAAACAGGAAGTGGCGCTCTCACCTGGACCGAGACCAGGACGAAGGTAATGAGCAGCTGCGAGGTGGGGCTGATGAACTTGGGCGGCGTCACCGAGCGCTTGCCCTGTTCGAAGATGCGATAGATGCGATTGGTTTTGGTCAACATGGCCGAGTACGTGATGGCCATGCCCAGGCCCAGCAAGAGGCGCCGGAAGGCGCACACCACCACGCCGGGCTCGGCGATCATCAGGAACGTGATCAAGTAGATCAAAAAGATCCCTGAGGGAGGACACGGAGTCGCATCATGAAATCATACATTGGGATCGGCTTGAGTAAAGATGTTTTTTTTTGTTTGAATGGGACTCGGCTCATTTGATTTCATCTCCTTCAGCAGCACCGGTCTTGTAAGTACCAGTCGTGCGGGTGCACCGGTTTTTAGTGTACACTGGTATTCTGGTCCCACGGAAAACATATTTCATGAAACACAAATATTTCAAGTCACCTCTGAAACGTGTGACAGAGCCTCATTTAAGGCGCGGGACACTACGCCTATGTTTGGACTTCCTGAA